CGGGCAAATAAAATACACAGTATACGTAGTTAGCGGTGTAATAACGACAATTTTATTGAAATAAAAATAAAATTTCAGTTTTTTTTTTTTTTAATAACACATAGGTACTAAACGATATAGTCAATACACATGAAACACTAACAATAAACAGAACAATAAACAATATTAGTAGAGGTACATCGTAATACAATACAAAAACGTGTCGACTAACACAATATAATATGTAATAATAATATATTTTTATTAATCTGCATACATGATGTGCGTGTACAAAATTATGGGTACGCTCACACTATTAATATTATAATCGAGATCTATTCGGTAGGTAGGTATCTATATATTATAATCAAGCAGTTGCAACAGTTAAACGGTGTGATGGTTAATGTACAAATTATCATTATTTATTACATAACATTATTGTAAAAGCAGTAGGAAAATTCCTATACACGATTTAAACTTTTAATATTTTATCATTGTCATTATAGATATTTATCGGAACTGCGACACGCGAACCCTTCACACGCTGAGAACGAATGGGTGTTTGATAGACACGAACGGAACAAAAACCGTTCATCGCCACGGCCTCGGTAGTGATGTGATCGGGGAATCGTTCGTCAACCGCAAAATTCTACACATTATTCAGCGGAATAGGACATAAACATTTGAAGAAAAACTATACGGATTCATTAACCGAGTTAGTAAATAAAACTAGAAGAGAACGCTCTTCTACAAGGAGAAATCTATATTGTGTATAACTATAGAAAATAAAAGCGACGCACGGGCGGATTTCGAACGAAATTTATATGTATAGAAACGTTAAATTTCTATTGGTAGCTGATATTACTTATAGCACGGTAAATGTAAAGTGGAGTTGAGAAGTAAATCGATGGCGGTGTCAAAATTTCGGTCATCACACGTGTACGAATTTTCCGTAAAGGTATACCTACATAATGTCACATGGCTTAAAGTTAATATATAATTATATAATCGTCGTGAACACTCGAAAACAGCAATCTAAACAATATTATTAACTATGCCTAAAACAAAACATAATAATATACATAGGCGTTTATAGAATATTTCTTATAAGTATAGAGAGTTGCTGCTAATAACACACACGCAAAACATTTATATACCTAAACGTTTACAAATAATGTATCTGTGGCCTGTAACACGCTATTCATATAGTGTGTGTATGTGTGTGTGATGTAATATGAGAAAAGATAGTAATAAGATCTCTGAAAAAAGAATGGACGGTTTCTAAGTAAAAATAAATTGCAGCATTAAACGCGAGTGCGTGTTCTCACACATTTTTGTACTTGATCGTAGTTATACATGATATGAAATCGGTCCAGCCTCTATTTTAGTGCGTAGAACATAATATGATACTATGTACAGTACGAAAATGCAAATGTATATAGTAAGTGTAGCCGTGTAGGCACGATTTAAAAAAAAATGTGCAGCTTAAATAATGTGTTCAAACTTTCCGAATTTTTTTTTTTTTTCATAATTTTACGCCTCCGCACATTTTGAGCGTGTCGCAAATAAACAACATGTGCAGTATTATGATTTTTTTTTTTTTGGTTTTTATTTAAAACAAGGACCGGAAATCGCTATGAACTATTGTCATCAGGACATTAGGTACATGTTATATTAATTATAATTTCGTACTATAAATTTGGCAGAGAATTTTTGTGCGGTTGTCGAGAGAACACGTAAAAACGGTAATGCTAAACTATCGAACGAACATTTCTGTAAAATCTACCTACATCGTAATAATGCACAATGTTATACAAAATAACATGTTTACATTTCAGTGTTAAAGGACGCATACGATGCCAATACCAACAGAATCAATATTCTGTTGTGTACACAACGCACAAACAAACATGAAACACTACCGATCAAAACACATTTACTGATAAGTGATAATTTGAAACGAAATATTATGTCAATACGCTGTTATTATTGAGCACAACGACCGTGCAAAATAAATTGTATAGTAATATTTGAATATGTCAAGACATTTGCGATATTTAAGTAAGGTGCCGTCGGCATTGGGCGTTGGTACCTCTCGGCTATATAGTGTGAGACTTATCACAAACACATGGTTTTATATTACATTTCGGCGGTGGCGGTGGTAGTGGTGGTGATCGAAATCTAGAACCTACATTTTGCTCACGAAAAAAAAAAAAAGTTTACGTCGTCACTGATCCCGTAGGTATATTGTATATTCACCGTTACTTAAGCTTTTCGATACCGGGATTATAGGTGGGATGGTAGTGCGAGGGGACCGAGACACTAGACATTCTAGTTTAGAGCCGAGAGGAGAAATCTAATGTATCCGGTGGTTTTAAATTACGCATTAACGTATTAGGATTTAGGACAGTTGATTTTTTTTTTGTGATTTTTATTGCGGGAGTAGTATACCTATAATCTATCACGCAAGTGTCTCATAAATAGCGCACAATGTTTAGAGATTTAAGTTAACGCGATATTAAAAAAAAAAAAGACATCAATGGTTAGAAACCCTTATAAGCAGGGACTCGAGAGCGAGATGATCGCATTGATTGAATTACAACAGACTAAGGAATAATTTATTATAATGTACATCGTATGTATGTATACATAAATGCTTATCTACGCAATAGAAACTATGAGCTGAATAAGATACTTATCGCAGAATAGAACGCTAAAATTTGAAAACCATAACATGTAAATAAATTATGATTTATAAGCAGCCTACCACTGGCGACCAGGTGGATAATGATGCAAACATTGTTTAGAATAGGACGGACTTGGTTATTATTCGAATTGTTGTTATTTATCGGTTGTTATTGTTTCTAAAAATGAGGGCAAATGTCAAAAGTTTATAGAAAAATTCGTTTCAACGTGATTGTAAGCTGTTGCAAACGGCATACAGTCTTAATACAGATTTTTATATGTTTTTTTATAATTGATACAACGAATTGGTGTCATGAAGTTTAGTTTGCTGGAGAATTATCCATTAAATGATAATCATAATGCACTACTTAACAAATGCTTCTATTGTGCACATTTAATATAACACTGTAAAGCAAATTATACACATATTATTATACATAAATCTTATATGAATTGTATAATTTATGATAAAAAGACCTATAAAACTTAAAAAAAGTTAATTTTGAATAATTAATGGTTTTGAAATTTGAATTGCCATATAAATTATATTTATAGATACAAAATAATAAATTTATCTATTAAGCAGACAATAACAAGAGATAAAAAAAATATTATTTTTGGTTTGAAGCCACTGCCTCCAATACAATAAAATATTATAATTTATAACTAATAATTAAATAACATACAATTTTTAATTCATAAACATCTAATTCATTATGCAAGTTAAACCGAATAATTGAAACAATGTTTTTCAGTAGTTATAAATTAGAAATGAAGCTTGAGGTTCATTTAAACTTTTGGGACAATGAGACACTGATTTGTAATAACGCATTTTTATTAAATTACTTTAAAATAAATAAATAAATAAATAAATAAATAATAATAGTTTTAAAATATTAAAATATTTAAAGTAGAATAATTAATTGATAAAATATATGAAATTCAAGTATTGAATAAAACATACAATTAAAAGCAACAAAGTTCATAATTTGTGTATAACCATAGAATAATAATAAAATATAAAAAATATGTGCAGTTTGAAATTAATTAAGTGAGAAAATTAGGGAAGACTTAATAGTTAGCCAGCAGCCAATCTAAAAGAAAAAATAGGAGTAATAACGTTGCATATTATAGCATATAAGTATAGTCAATAGTAAATAAAATTTAATGATACAAATAAAGGTTTGCATTAACACGAAAAAAAAAAAGAAATGTAATTCATTCAAGCATTAAGTTTAACAGAAAAATTTAGATTGAATAATAGGAGGCTGTTTGATAATTTAGAAATATGATCCTATAATTACTTTAATAGACGACACAGCCGTTTGATGAAAAAAAAAAAAGTATACAAATAATTTAATTTTGTGACATGACCAGAAATGCATTTAGAGATATCTATAATTTCAGAACTGTTATAGTATAAAAATTGAGTTTCTTTTTCAAAAATATTGAAAAAATAGTGTGCGTTAATATTGTAAAGAAAAACATAAGGAACGTGAATCCACTATAACATGCAATAAAGCATAATAATTTCTGAAATAAAGACATTTCTAAATACATTTTTAGACTTGGTTACAATTAGATATTTAATAAGCATTTAATTATATACTACATATACACATTTTAATAAAATATTTATACCCATTACTAAACACAAAACATTTAAGGTTTAAATATTAATAATGACTCGAAAGCTATCACAAATGTTTGACATTATAGGTATTCTATATAGTAAATATAAGTATTTTAAAAATAGCTCAGTAACTTAAAATACAGGCACCAACATCTCAACTATCCAATCAACATTATAATTAATAATATTATTAATTTCACAAATTTTAAATCTTAATTAACAAATACTTATTAATTAAAATATTAATCATTAATATATAAATGCATAAATATTTAATATCCTCTCATATTTTATATTATTAATGATTAACTTTGTTCAAATACTTCTCCGTCGTATAAGTTAAAATATATTAAAGTTATATGAACAATAATTAATTTAAAGTATTTGAATAAATTTATCATAATATACAATAAATTACATTTAAAAAATGTCTACATAAAATTATTTCTTACAAAAGTCATAGAATGATGTTAAAAATATTGTAATTTCCATTGCTTTTATTTAAATAATTAATTAATTAAAAATATCTTATAGTTTTTGTTTTATATTAATATCAATAAGTAAAATAAAAATTAAAGTTTTATTATACAAGAATATTGAAATCAAGCAAATGTATGAATAATTTTTATTAAAATCTATGTTTAAATCATTGTTATTAAAATTAAATATTTATTTGAATTATTAAAATTTATTTGTGCTCATGGAAGACTAAATAAAATGCCAAGTATAAAGTATTACTATTTCTATTTAAAAAGATTATTCAAAGACGGAGAAGTACAACTGAAAAAAATCTGTTATATGTTTTTTTTTTTTTTTTTAACAAGTTTATATCATAAAATATAAAGAAATAAATAATAATATGGAAACAATATAAAGTATCAACAAATTATTCACAACAACTATTAAATAACCAAACTAATATTTTATAGTCATAAGGTAGTTAAGTCAAGAATATGACCTAGTGATGGCCCCTAAATATAACAAAATATACATTGATCTAATCTCTAGTTTAATCAGTGTAAGCACAATACTGATTTCTGTCTATTTAAAATTAATTATTATGAAGGTAAATATCCTAACATTTATAAAATAACAAGTGATGATATATTTGTTTCAATTATAATTGTGCACAAAATTATTGGTTGTAGAATTCTAATGAAAATTAAATCACACAAACAATATTTTTAATAATATATTCTTATTTTTAACAGTCTATAGCAAATACAATTGATTAAGGTTGATGCATTTTTATAAAGTTTAATAAAATATTGACGAATTTACAACTAGATGGTATAGTAAAAGTAAATAAATAAATAAAATTCACTAAATACACAAACATTAACAACCTACAATCAATGTCTAATTTGAGATTAGAAGATCTAAAAATGATAATAACAATCTTAGCTTGGAAAATTTAAAAAATATTAAATCGAGATAATCAATTTACAGATCAGTCTATTCGAGGAATTTTATAAGGTGGTTCATTACGGTACCAGACTACTTGACCAAGTATTGTCAGATCTATTATAACCTGAAGTGTGCCACACATCCAGAATTGTAGAGGTGCTTTTCGACTTACAAAGTAACAAGTCTTAAATGCATCTCCAGTTGTCCAAAGTAATACCATTGTAACACTATTAAAAAAAAATTGAAGTTATTTTTGAGTTTTTTGATCATTAACAAATTTAAAATTTATAATATTTTATTTGGTTTTAATTTATAGTATGAAAATAATTTATAGCATCTCAATATTCTTAAATAATAATATACCTATAATAATTTATAAACGTTCTAAATTAATAAAATTGAATATTTTATTAGTTTGTATACTGCAATAAAAACAATAATATTCTTACTTTAATTATTGGCCATTAAAAATGAAATTCAGCATTAATTTAATAACATTCAAAATAAAGTATTAATACAATAGTTAAAGTCAACCATAAAGATTAAAACAAAGGAATTTTCATATAAATTATGAAAATATATTGTAACAGTGTGTGTAAAAACAAGTTCGCAGAACTTGGTGATAAATTATGTTACACAAATGAGAATTTTTTTTATAGTTAATGCATATATTGTTAAATAATTATGGTATTGAAAATAATTACACTATTTTTTTCATTACAAAAAACAAATAAATAAATAATTTAGAACAGTCAACAGAGTTAACAGAGTTTATTGTATATTTTATTGGCATTTTAAACTATTGAAATTATTGACATAAATTTATCTTTATGAATTAAATGACAAAATATAATAAATTTTTTTTTCATAATACTATTTAATTATCAAAATGATTTATGACACATAATTTTCAAGATTTTTAGTACCACAAATTCAATAATATTATTATATACTATTATATTTAAAATATTATCGATTACTCATTTGTTTGATGTAGTTTATTATTAAATAGTGATCAGAGTTTGTTCACCTAGTGATAGTTTACAAACTTTTTTCTACAAATCTAGATATAGTTTTAAAATTATGTAATACAATTTTATTTGAAAGCACTCTACCTATAGTTTTAATCTTCATAGAATAAATTAAAATAATTAATCAACTTATATTTTTTTATGTGCTCATAGCTGTAGAAACTGTACGTTGATAATAGTTTAAATTATTTTTAAGCTTTATATTAATTGTATTAAAAAAAATATTAAGATTCTTAATTGCATATACCACTTTAGATTTTAAAATAAATCATAGTTTAAGAGTAGATTAGAGTTTTATTATTTCATAAATAAAACTTTCTTTTTTTTTTTTTATTTATTTAAGAAAATTTACAATCTATATACAATTTATATAATAAGTAAATATGATGAGATTTTAATTTAATATTTTTTTTTATTTGATGCTCAAAGTAAGAAAATGCAATGTCATATTTAAATAATAATAAATACCTCATTCCTTCTGTAGATCGATTCCTTAAGTTTTTGACTAATTGAGGAACACCCAACATGGCTTCAGTTAGGAGAGCAAGAAATCCAATAATTTCGATGAATATAACATTATGCAGAAATATGAATGTTATGATGGAAAGACAAATGCTCATAGCGATTAAAAAATCTATATAAGATTGAAAGTCTGTCCATTGCCAAAAGTAATGCCAATCAAAATCTACAAAGAATTATAAAAATGATTACTTTCTCTGAATATTGAATAATTTGTGAACAAAATTAATATAAGGCTAAAAATATATTGTATAAAGTATACCAGTAAAATATCTGTCTGGTCCTCTGATTAACTGTGTTTTGTTACGAACTTTTACACATAAGTGTATCATAAGTAACATCATAATATTCATTACAATGCTTTGGAATAGCAATGGAAGCTCATAACGTTTACCAAACCTATAATTAAGTTTTTTGTTTTAACTTAGTGTTTTGAAATACTTGTTAAATAAATAATACTTACCAAAACAATATTCGCAAAGTGTTTGCAACTAAAAGTGCAAGGCATACATACATTGAGAAGCCTTCCGCATCTTGTTTGATGTATATTTCTCGGTATTGTGGAATGTATGGTACTACTCCTCCAAATACCATAATTGTTGAACAACACCATCGTGTTACTTTTCGAACAGTAATGTCTCTTACTTCTTCCACAACTGGTTCCATATTGATGTATCAAATTATTTACTTTATGTTTGGAACTCACCTTGAGGATTTCCATACTATTGAATACAATTAATTATTAGTAAAAAAATTAAGACTATTCAAAGAATATTATAAATAATAAAAATTAATAGTGCATTATTTGTTTTCAATGTGAATTTTATCTTATCTCATACAATATAGTAAATTTGTATTCTACAAAACTAGCCTTATGATATTAGCTTTAGTACAAGAATCCATCGATCTATTATTAAACTTAAAGTTAAGAATATTGTCTGTGTTTCTCTATATTGACTTTTTACAATATTTAAATATTTTTTCAAGTTATAAAAAATATTATAATTAAAATTTCTCATATTTTACTTTAAAATGTAAATAGTGTAAAAAATCCAATGAACAAATACAGATTATCTTCTTTATTTACAGTTTTATAATAAATTAATAGACCAATTCAATCTAATACTTAAACTGATAACACGGGGTTGATTCTGCTGAAAGCAAATTATCTATGTTGCAATGTTAACATTTTGAAAATAATGTACATTTTCACATTGATAACAAACATATAATTATTTTATAATATGAATAAAACAACAGGTATTTATTAAAATGTTGTTGTAACTTAAAAATTTTGATTTACTAATAAATTACAGAGCTGAATTATTTTATATGCCTAATCCAATTAATAATTCATATTTCTATGATTTGTTATTTAATATTTATATTCCCACAGAAGCATAGATTTTCCTAGAAAATTTTTTTACTAGAAAGAATTAAAGAAAAACTTGATAACTAGTCTATAGGGCAAATAATAAGATTTAGTATTACTTTATACTTATGCATACACAATACACATAATATACACTGTATAAATAAAAAAAAATAATAGTCTATAATATGTAGATTTTAATTAGATATTTTTTAGAATTGAAGAATACAAAATACATTGAATAATAAAAACTAGTACAATGTATTTTTGCTTAATAATAATAAAAAAAAAAGGAAAAATGAAAAATGAAAAAGGAAAAAAATTGACAAATTACTAAATGGTTATAGTCATATAGTTATTACAAAATTGAATCAAAGAATAATAATGTAATAATGTAACAATGATGAGAAATTATTATTGTATTTAAACAATTTAAAATAAAAATATGAATGGTTATATTTGTTGATCAAAACCAATTAATTCACAGAAAAAGGATTAAAACAAATATGTTTTATAAAGGAGAAAAATCAATAAAATTATTCATTTAACATATTTTATACAGATTATCCTTGAAAATATTTGTACATATATATATATATATATATATAATACACATATATGTATAATGATTAAAAAATTATTAATATGATAATTAATAAAATACTGAGCAATTAAATACAAGGACAAAATATCAGTTATCATAATAGTTTATATTAATTTTATGCTATAAACAAAATTAAGGTGTAAATTTAAATGTATGATGGGCAATTTGTGATAATAATTTAAAAATTATATTTAATGTTTTGTATTACTTGATCAATTTAATGTAAATAAAAAAACAACAAATTGAATCCTAAACACTTGATATAAAATTATAATTTAATGCAGAAAAGTAAAAAATTTAATTAAAATCAATGTCAATAAATTTCCTTATTAAATAAGTGTATTTATTATTTTTAATAACTGTTATGACAATATAATAATAATATAATATTTTTAAAAAAAATGTAAATAATTATTAAGTTAGTAATTCTTCAATTGACTTTTAAAGATAACATAATAGAGTAATTGTAAAAATAACAGTACAATACATATTTTGATAAACCGTGAATTAAGATAGATAAATTGGTAATCTAAAATAACATTGAATGATCTATTATCCTTTTAAAATGTTTTCAGAAAATGTTATAAATCAATACTGTTAACAATAAATAGATCAAAAAATATAACAAAATTAATAACATAGTTTATTATTTTTTTATTTATACATTCAACTTTAAGGATCAGCTAAAAAATTTAATTTTAGTACAAAATTTAAGCATTCCACAGTATTAAACTTTTTAAAATTATAAATGCAACAACTATAAAGATCTTGAAACTAAAACAATCGAGGGAGAATATTTTAAAAACTTTTTTTAATAGATTAGAAATTCACAAAAATTCATTGACTAACTTCTTGGAAATCTTTGTCATAGAATTAAAAGAAAATGATGTAATGATCTTCTAATTTAATCTTCCAAAGTATCAATTCTAAGCTAAATGCTAGGTCAAGGCTTCTAAATAACTCAACAAATTTCTTTTACAGATCACATATATTTATTGTATTTGCTATATAGATTGTATCTATTTTATTGAAAAAATCTTTTCATAGACTATATTTTGATTTTGACCTTCAAATTAGCCAAATAAACCATTAAGTAAACAAAAAATACAGTAGAACTATAAGAATAGTACCTATTTAGATATTATAAAATAATTATTTGAATTATAGTTTATAATACTAAAGTCAAAAAAGTCACATAAAAATGGTAATATAAAAGTTGATATGATAATTGTACATTATTTAAGTTTGTGAAAAGATACTATTTTGAAAAATATATTGCTAAAATTAAGAACAATTATTGTAAATAACTATCTTCTTGACTATTATTTTAATAAATAAAATTTTAATACCCAATTTGAATTTTTATATAAAATTAGTGTATTTCTAAATAAGTAAGAAAAACATTTTTTACAAAGAAATAATTTTTTCCAGAAACCTTGTAAGATATTTATACTAGCAAATAGAAAAAAATTGTACATCACACAACAGTATAATTTCAATTTTCAAGGTTACTTTAGGAAGTGCATTATTTTATTTTTACTGTGAGATCATTAATAAATTATATATTGATATATTTATTTATAATTAAAATTTAACTTAAAAAGCTTATAACTTATGAATCATCAACTACTGATTTAAGAGTGAAATTTATATTTTATTATATTTTAAATGTTAGTTTAATTTAATTTTTTAACTTACAATAATCTATTTATACTTAAATTAAAAATTTTATAGTTATTATTAAAATTTAACAATACCTATGTAACTTTTTAATATAGTTATCATTACAAAACCACAAGAAGGTAGATCATCCAGTTATAGAACCTATAACAACTTATGGTTATTAAAAGTCAGAATCAAGTTTATTTAGTTAAATTAAAAATAATTAGTATAATAATTAATCTGAAGTTTTATTTTGAAGTTTTTCCTTTCTTTTTTCTAATAAGAACGATTAGTATTATCTTGTCTACAGTATCTTCAGTATTATAAATTAACATTGATTAAAAAAAGATTATGTGTATGTAACATTATGAAATTTTTAATGATACACAATATGCTATAATTTAATCCCTTATCAACAAATTGTTTGTATACATTTGACTCACTAGCTTAGACTTATTTGTTTAATTAGAATTGAAACAATAGATTTTATACTCTGTATCAGAAAAAAAAATTAACACTGATTAGGTCATAATGAACAAATAATGTTTCGAGGAAGTATAAAAGTAATATGTAAGTATGTAAATATAATTTATATTTTTATTTCATATCAATAAATGGTAATATGAGAAATATAATAAACTGTTAGTATTTAACATAAATCTTAACTTTTATGATTTGCTATAATTTCCAATAATGAAGTAATTTATAAATTAACGATAACTATAAATATTTCAAAACTTTATTTTAAATACAACACAATATAGTTTAGTTTCCAAACAAATGTAATGCAAGTATAATTTATATACTTCTAAACTTATAAAATAAATTGTTTACCTATTGATCAAGACATAATGAATTTCATTTAATTGTAACTTTTGGACTATGTATTAAAAGTGTACAGAAAAAATGTATTAAATAAAAGTAAGGAAAACTAATTTTATAAAAAATCTAAGCTACAATAAGCTAGTTAAAAATTAAATTAAAATAAATGTTTTTAAACTAACATATTATTAACTATTAATTTTAAAATTTTATTTCTGAAATATTTAGTAATTTATGAGACCTTTATAATACATTACAACTTAAAATATTAAGAAAAATTGGTTTTAGATTTAAGTTAATTATTGTAATAATTAAAAAAAAGAAAGATACATAATTCTGAAATACCAAACATGTTATTGTACACATGTTATAAATTTTAAATTTAGTAGAGCAATGTAGTGATGTATTCCAGTCACAGTATTAAGACAGGAATGTTACTGTAGATAGATGTTTGATGTAATGACTTACAAAAAATATAGTACTAGTAAATCAGCACTGTTAATAACTAATTTATTATTTTTGTATTTAGCAAACTTAAAAATAAACTTAAGAACAGTATCAAATACAAATTAGTCAATGTGAGTAGATCAATTGTTGAAAAATAAAATCATCATGAGTCAAATTACAAAGGGAGATGTAGTTACAGATCAGTTGTTTGTTCTGGATAGTTTTTACGGCATTTTTAGTTGCACCCCTCTTGTCAAACCGTGTTTGGCTTCAAATGTGTTTTCTTGGGTCAAGGTCAATAGTAAAAATTGTAATTTGCCATTTGTTAGTATAATAATGATGTATTTTTTACTTTTTAATTTGGTTGATAATTGTATTTGATAGTATAAAAAGCTAAAATGTTTCATGCATCTTTTTTATATATTTAGATAGTTTTTCAGTATAGGCATTTCAAGGAATTTTATCATTTTTAGATTAACATGACACACACAAAAAAAAAAAAACAAAAATATTTAGTACAGGGATATAAAAAAATGTCAATATAAATGATAAAGTATTGATGTGTAATAGTAGCCTTTAGAAATTTGACTTAACTTGTTAAAAAGTATGGAGAATTTTTATTAAAAAAAAATTATTTGTTTATCAATATTCTATATCAATGTTATTCCCTTTAAAGTAATATCCGTTAAATATTATACACTTATCACTTATGTCAGCTCTTTTTTCAATTATTAAAACACTTTCAGAACTCAATCATATGAAGAGCCTTTAGCTCTTAGCAATGTGTTTTTAATTTCATTGTGCTTTCAAAGTTCTTTTTAAGTATGGAAAACATTTTTTTTTTTCTTAATCGATAATTTCCATAACTTTTTGAATATACCATGTATAATACACTTAATCATATAAGTGACAAATTAAGTCTTACATTTTTTAATGAATATTAAATAAGAGCTATTTAAAAAATCATCTTTTTAAATAAAGTGTTTGAAAATACAATTTATATTAGTTCATATTAAGTATATAAATATACCTAATGTTATGTTTATAAAATATTAATTATTAATTTTTTAATTAGTAGTCTAATGTGAAATAAATCATACATTTTATTTACATTAGAACATTTTAATAGTATAACAACATTATATTAAAATAATATTATTAGAAAAATATTGTCGTTTACTGTTTTTTGAAATGGTTTATTAACTGTTGTTGTTATGCAAATTGATTAGTCTACTTAAATAAATATTTATGCAAACAACACCTACTATATTAAATTTAATTTGAAATCCAATTTTTTAAACTAATTAATTTATATAATTATTTATTTTCTTTGATTATTATATGATTTCTAAATGCAATAAATATCACAATAGATATATAATAAACTTAACCCTAAATCAATACTCGATAAAACATTAAAGTTTTTATTTTAAACTTAATAACAAATTTATTATTATAAAAATAACAAAGGAAAATTAGAGCTAATTAATTTCGTGAATTATTACCTAGGTATTGTATTATTAGGTACCTATAATATATGATAAATGGTTTACCTATTGTAATAGTTTTGAAAATTTTTATCTTTATGAGTTCATAAAAATCACTTATTATTCTTATTACAAGCAAGAAATATTCATAAAAATCACTGTTACCTAATCTTTTTGTTTAAAAAAAAAAAGTTTCATTATTTAGTAGGAGATATCATTAAATTTGTTTAACCATCAAACACATTTAAGTTATGTTTATTACACAATGTGTATTAACTATAAGTACATAATAAAACATTTATTGTACTATACTAATACAAACATGAAATTCTATTTTGTCACACAACGAACTGTTAAGGGCTTAATTAATATAAAAATGTCTAATTATATTCATAATATTATATAAATAAGCTAATAATTCTAGGTAAAGCAACCAATAGGATTTATGGGTACAACCCTCCATGAAATGTTTTTATTAAAAATACAAATTATGAATTTATAAATTATACAATATAATGTGATGACATCTAAAAAATTATGGTGTTAAAGTTTTAAATATTTAAACATAGCAACAAACATTTCATATAGTTTGTGCCCTAAATAACTTTCTTTAAAATTAATAAAAAAAAAAAAATACATTGCATTATTTAATTTATAAATAGGTAATATTTTTTCTGTCAGATAGAATTTAGAAACATTATTTTAATCAAAAACTATAATATTGTTTTTAATCAAAATATTTTCAAGATTTAAAAAAATAATAATTTAAAGAAAAATAACAATCAATTAAAATAAAGAAGTTTTGTTAAAATTAAAACTGACTGTGTTTTATTCTAGTATTATATGAAATACATTTGAACTATTTAATTGAAACAATCAAAACAAATGGTTTTATATTCAATTTATAATGGTATTTTTTCTTATCTGTTTCATTCGAGATCAGTGCATTTATTTAAATCATTGTGTATAGTGTGTCTGTAACAATAATAGTTCAATGACAGGAATAAAGGTGTTGTACATATACGGTAACATACCAAACCTATACAAAGTCACACTGTAATCAAGGTCTATAATTCCTGTACACCAGAGCAAATAAATTAAAATTTCAAAAACTGATCAAAATTTAAAAAAAAAAAAAAAAAGTACTACTAATCGAGAACAATTAAAACAGTAAAACTATTTTCTCTCTGATCCATAGAAATCGAATGAGAACTAATTCAATGGGAGTTGTAGGACGTACGTACACGGGTACATAAATTTCAATTGACAATGAGAGAGCAGTTCAAAAGAAAATTAACTATTTCTATGTCTTGTTTTTAGTCCTCACATTCCCAACAAAAAACCTATGTATTAACAGGAGCATCCGGACTTCAAAAAAAAAAAAAAAAAAAACCTTTGAAACGTTTCCTCGTCGGTATCGTGTACCAATCAGCGTTACACCACACCGACTAAGGACAGCATTTGGACGCACGGATGAGGGGTACCTAGTGACCGCGAGTCACATGGATGTATGAATAATATTGTAACACGGTTACAGAACTAGGCGGTTGGATAGACACACAAGACCAGCGGGATAGTTACCTAGAAATCAAGGCATCGTGACGACGACGACGTTGACCGAGTTGCCATTGTGCGGATAATGCGGATCAGGAGACACTCACGTCGTGTGCCGCGAAACGCGCGAAGTCGTACGCATCAGATTTTGTACTGTACCGACACACTACACCGAGCTAGCGAATTCGTTACACGACAGCACGCCACAAGAGCAGCAGCAGCGACTAGCGTCCAATGCGGATACCGACGGGGCGGCGCGATAGCGTGCACCACGCTGTGTACAGTGGGCGCCGATAGCGGTCGTCGCCGTCGTCGCCGAGCGTTATCTGAGACGACGTCGGTGGCGGCGGTGCGGACACGGAGCGCATTAAACGGACGGCGGAGGACCGACTGCAACGCTGACGTTGGTCGCACTACTATCACGATAATATTCACAACAGCAGCTATTGCCGCTGACGGCCGCTGTTGTTTTTGTCGCTGTACTTGGCGGCGGCGTTCGTATTGTTCGATTCATTTGTGCGTGCCCGCACGAAACGCCATCAGTGCCCCGTCATTGTTGTTTCGTTGTTTTCGACAATGAAATCAAACGCGACGGATGGCTTTTAACCATTATGACAAATCGAAAACGTTGATAATAATAGTAATAACAATAATAATAGTAACAGCATTAAAAAGCCCCCTCGAACGCGCGTTATCGCGCGACGATAAAAGACGACGGGTGCCGCCGAGTGGGTAACGGCGCGGGCGTTGGGTGCGTGTAAAAGGCAGCGATGATCGAGTGTATAAGACGCGGACGACGAAAAAGGTCGTGTGGGTGGGCGAGGCGCGTGAGTGAGTGAGAGCGAACGAGTGACAGTGTCATTCGCGAAATACTATAACGTCTATAACCATAGAACTAGAAGCCCGCGATTTGCGATGACGGGGTGGTGAACGAAAAATGCTATGGACATGAATACACTCTTTACTGTGGGCCTTTGTAGAGCGACGCGTCGCAAGGTCGTTGTGTAAATAAACGCCTATGCGTCATAACTCATAATGATCAAAAAAAAAAAAAAAAAATGTGTTACAATAACAATATTGTTTCATAACTGTAATAATGATAATAATATACGTCATGCGATGTACACACCCAACACTGAAACACGTAGGTATTTACGATTTACCTGCCCTAGTGCCCGACGTGATATAATGTCTATTGCTACAGTGGTTTTTATTATACCACAGATTACAGGACTCGCGTGCTGTTATGCATATCCACCATACGATATACATATACTAATTACTAAGTAAAGGCCACGGGTAAAAAAAAAAAACTAATATTAATCATTTAATAGTCACCGGCGCTGACACTCGAGATAGATGGGTACCAAATTTCCAGTGCATAGATAAAATAAAAAATCAGTCAATCGTTCATTAAATAATGTTAGCCTTCTGAATAATTTATACGAGACCGGAGTTCTTTCAAAAATAAAAATAATTTCTATTTTACATAAGTAATTAAAAAAATTAATTATAAATTATTTATTTTTTTATTCTGTGTACACGTTTTCTGGTCTAAAAAATAATATTTATAGAGGTATCTCTCTTTAGATCGAAATTCGCCTCAAATTGGTACTTAAGAGAGGTAAATTTCTGAATTTGTCAACAATTCTTCAAAAGTTATTTAGAAAAAATTATCGAATATTGAATTATTTTGTTTTCTTAAGAGTCGTTGTATTGCCTAACCTAACAATTTTTAATTTAATTTTAATATACGGTTTAAGGAAGACGGCAACTTAAAAAATGTTATGTTTTAGTTCCATAAAACATTTTATTTATTCTCTTCAATTCGGTCAGTTTAACACAAAACAGCAAAAATTTCTATAAAAAATAAAATATTTTAACTTTAACAGTAAGGTAAGACAAGTACTGTAGCAGGAGGGCCTCTGCGGATCTGTTTACTACCAAATATTTAATCCCTAGCCTCCCCACCATAAATATGTAACAGGATCACCGCCTACAGACACATTATTAGACTTGATCAAATTACCTCATATTTTTATCATGTCATCCATGATTGATCGTCATGACTGTATATATTTTCTAAATCGATTTCTATAGGTAATTATTAAATACATACTATTATATTTTCGACACATAAGTACACACCCAAAATATTAAAAATGACAAACAAATTATAAAGACCAGTCAAGGTTTTGTGGATGTATAACATATTATTATTGTCATATGTGTTTGTGGCTAAATTAAATTATAGTTATTACTATTAGTATAATACTCTCAATTTACACATAAAAAGTTAGTAAAAAAAAATTTTTTTTTACATAGAAACTGAATGAAATTCACACTTATATAAAATTTTAATGGGCATATTTTACATTGCTAAGTAGTATAATCTCTTATACACACGATGTTTATGTTTAGAATAATTATTAGATAATAATTATTATTAAACACGTATAGAGCCGAGTTGGAGGTACTTATCAGTTGAGGCCGACCAGTTAACACGCCTATAATAATGGTCGCTGTGAATCATTATTTTATTAGTTGACGAGGTGCGTTAATGCGTTTAATAATATTTTAATATAATAAGAATAACAGTCTGCGACCAGCAGCAGAGGAATCGGCCGACTAAAATAGTGTTCTGATGTTCATATTGTATTGCAGCTGCGGACTTGATTAAATTACTACGTGCCGATGAGAATGATTTAAAGTGATAATATTATACATTATATACATTATGCGGATATTTTATTATACGTACCACTCGTGCCAGCATTATTATAAATGCATTGTGTTTTATAACGGTGTATTATAATATGACGATGACAAACGACGGAGCTGTAGAACCGAGTGTCCGTGCCTTTGTGAACTACAACGGCGAGTTGATTCCACTGGGACGAGTGGAACGTGTCCGCAAAAGCCGATATTATATTCAACTGCCTGCGTACCTATATAGCATACCGTTAGCCGTTGCCGCCGCTGTTGCTGCTGCCGCCGAGGCGCGGTGAACGCGTTGTGGGAATGTTTTCGAGAGAAAAGAAAAAATGAGTAAAAACCACTCGTACCTATTACCAATACTATACGGTGTACGTATATTATGTTACGTATAAATGAGAGTGTATTTAATTATACGTTAAACGCACGAAAACGAATAGGTCCTGACGGTGTATAAATATAAAAATGTATAATTTAATATGTTTACGTATCTACTATGTCCAATTATTACATTATTTTATTATAATTATTGCACGTATTTAGAGTAATTATATATTTTTATGGTAATATTATTGTTATAAACTTACCGTATGTACTTACTACAATAATAATACATATTATACACTAACGTCCAATAATGGTGATGTCCGAAAACGTACATTGTACATTTTTAAATAATATTGAGTACCTATCTACGTATATGTATGGATGTGTGTGTGTATTTGTAAACTCAGAAATAAAATATGCCTATTATACTGCTAAATACACAAATATTTATCATACACATAAAACATAATACACACACAAATCAAAGTACACACTAGGGTCAAACAGTGACCTTTTAAGTTTTGGGTGTAACCCTTGTACAGTTGTACTCCACCGACTAAATATGTGCCAGTCGGCGGGCAGCTATTATACTTAGTTATACATATACATATCGACATATCGCTCGTAAATATGATAAAATGCTTAATATAGATATATGAGTATATTACATTATATGCATAATATATATATATTTAATACAACGCTATTGAAAAAATAACACAAAAATAAAATATACATGATTTTTGTATTGAAGTACCGATATTCAATACGTATTACGGCAGTGTATTGTATTAGTAATAAAGTTATTTTATTTGAACGCTTTATGCATTGCGAAAAAATATGCTATTTCGAAATCAAACTATACCAACCTGTATAATATATTCATGGTATATGAATAAGATGATTCACCAAACTTGTTCACCTTTTAATTTTGATCCTTTAACAATATTTATCACACCGATTACCCTCGATATTCAACCGAAAAAATATTTAATGAGTTTAATGTATTGAATATTTTATAATAAATATTACATACATAAAAAAAATAAATAATTTCTCTGTTCCCTATGAACCACATACTGGGTATACAGTAAAAAAAATATTCCCAATTAAAAAAAAAATAAAACTGATTGTTGAAAGGTTTTCAGTTTTGCGGAGACTCAAATTTACAAATTACAATTCAATGTTCAATATTTAGCCAACATGTCATTACCATTTATTAAGAAACATATTTCATGCTGTATACAATGGTTATGTTGTCAATACGTGAAAATATAATAATATATAATTGTCATTACGCTATATTGTATTCACAACCTTATAATTATTAGCAATTTAGTATTATTTTATTTTTGTTCCCAAATAGATATTATTTCTATTTTTATTATTATACACGATGAATTTGTACATTTTTTGTAATATAGATAATTCCACATATTAAGTTTTTTTCAATGAAGCCCACTAAACTTTAAACTAGTTTTAACAAAAAAAAATTTAAATCAAGGTTTAATTTTTGAAATTTTCAAGTGAGCACCTAGTTTTTAGATACTATATTTTAAAATAATTATATTTGTTTACCATTTGTTCCATGATAATGACGATAGATACTTACAAATTTTTTATTTTCATGTGATGATAATTGCTCTTTTTTACTAGTTTTTAGTCATATCAAGTAGATAATTTGTTTTTGAAGATGTTTATGCGTTTTAATTGAATTGTATACTTAACGTATAGTACGTGAACTTGTAGTTTTTCAGTTATTGAACTTTTGATATGCATACTTACATAAAAATTGCAAAAATTCATAGAATACGATTGATAAATCATCCTGTATGCATGCATACACCTGATGAACTCTCTGAAATACCCATCGTGTAAATATAAAATGTCGCACGTTAACATAAATTACCTTGTGTCTGTATGGTATACATATAATATATACCTAGTAAAATAATGTACATATAGTGTGAATAACATTTATAATTTGACTCGCGTTCAGTCCGATTCAATGCAACTACTATATAGGTATAGTATAATATTATATCATTATGTTTGTGTATACTGTATACCATACACACAGACATATATATATGATGAGTGTGTACCTTTAATGTGTTATGAGGTATTTATTTGAACACATGTGCCAACATACAATGTACTTACTACCGAGGATGCGTATAAATATAACATATGTATATATTATATATACATCGTAAGTGAGGGTAAATTACGCCATTACGCTAAATTATATTTCAAGTGTTTTTTTCCTCCTGTTTTCACAAACGCTGTGTATTTTGTATTTGTATTGTACTTGAAAATTCGTATGAGTAAATACGAGGTGGTATACTGGTAGTACATACACCTATACTGCAGTTATGTCGCTGTATCATATATACATATTACGTATTATACGTTGTGCTGTACAGTTTGAAATATGTATGTATTGCAGTATTGGCTATATTGTAATGCTTAGGTATTGGGTATAATAGTGAAATAAGCAGA